CCGCTGACAGCGGCACCGCTGAATCTAGAGATTTGGCTTGGCCGCGGCAGCTAATGTCTAGAAATAGCTTTGTTTTGAGGGCAGAAGAGGGTTGGTAAAAAAAAAAAAGCATGTTAGTGCTCACAGCGCAGAAATTTGGCCTGTAACGAATTGCTTTATATGAAATCAAAGCATGGGCTTTTCTTTTTTTCTTTCTTTCTTTTGTTTTAAGTGCAAATGGGCAGAGAAGTTCCTTCCTGGAGGTCTGACGCCTGTAGTAAAGCGTGTGGTCAGGCACTGGGTGATGGCGGCAGTGGGTGCTCCCAGGTCTACCTGGGGCGGGAGAACTCGGACAAAAACCCGCCCCTGAAATACCAGCATGGCTCATGCTCCAAAATGGTTTTATCATTTCCAATGGATGTATTTTTAAATGGAAATACTCCATTTTTTAATCCCTCTGTAGTGCTTTGCTTATTTATGTGTTGCTTGCAACTGAAGAATGAAAACAAAAGCAGTGATTTGGGTCCAGAGGATGCCATCCCGATTTGCTAAGAAAACTAGCACTTTAAAAATGTTTTGAACCCTCACATTTTGATGAGGTGCGTTTGGGGTGCTCTGTAACGATCGCCACCCCCGAGAGCTGTGTGGAAGTCAGAGCGGGAGGGTTTAGTTCAATGCCCGAAAGACCAGCAAGCCTTCCTATACCTCATTCCTCCGGAAGCAGACGGTCTGGCAGCGGAGGGGGAGAGAGCTGGAGCGATGGGAAGAGTGGGTCAGGCGCATCACCAGTTTCGTTCAGGCACTGCTTTATTATGCAGCTTTAAGCAGCTCCCATAACCAAGGCAGTTACTTCATTTGTCAAAGTAATACTTACTGGTTGTAGAGGGAGTGCTGTGAAGCCTAAATCATTTCTCTTGCTGGTAAAATCAGGGTCTCTAAATGTAAAGTTGCTTTAGAAGTGCGAAGTACGTATTCCTCGGTGTTTGGATGCAACCCGACGTGTAAAGGCTTGTAGAGAATGCTTTCCTTCGCTTATGTATTGCAATATTTGAACAGAGCACAGCGAATTAGGGCAGGGACGTCAGGTTCCTGGCATTTTGTGCCAAATGTGAACCAAATCTTTAAAGGGATCTGCCAAAACACGGGTGAGACTGCGGCTAGTGACTTAGGCTGCCGAAAGGTAGAGGTGCTGCTTCTCCCCCCGCTCCCGTTGCTCTCCCAGCCCCTGGCCACGCAGTCTCACCTCACACCTTCTACCACGCTGGTGCCCACCACGTGCTTCTGTGAGCCCATTCGACTCTAAAATCGCAGAAACTGCCCAGTGATTTACTGGATTTTTTTTTAGTACCATTTTGGAGAGTTAAATCAGCATGTGGGGAGATGTGTAAAGAGGCGAGAGTAGGTAGGCAGGGCCAGGGAGGGAAGGGGAGCAGGTTGTGCTCCTGTCTTTGTAGGATGAGCGGCTAAATCAGCTCCCCACATCCCATAAAAAACTGAACCTGGCTCCCCTGTGCTCTTGGGTCTGCGCTTGCTGCTCTGCGAGGGAAGGTGAAGTCCCATGGCTTGGTTTTTCCAGGGTGAATGGCTCAGTGGCTCCCACACCGCCTTCCCCTCTTGGCGATGGGGCAGCTGTTTCAGGGGCTGGGAGAAGCCTTCTCCTTAGGCTCGGTTTTTGGGCGGTGTGTCAGGCACTGGACCAGGCTGGCAGGGCTCACGCTCTGATCCCGTCGCCCGTGCAGGCGGGTGTGGACATGTCTGCAGGAGCATCTGCAGCTCTGGGAGGCAGCCGGTGGTCTGTAGCCAGCAAGAGGGCCAGGGAGAGGGAAAAAAATAAGAATTATAGTTCTGCTTGGGTTTTAGTTGGTGCCATTTTGGGGCACGTGGGTTGGGTTTTCAGTGAAAAGGGGACTTTTGGAGTGCAGCAAGTCAGGCCAAGCTTTTAAGCTGTTTGACATTCTGCTACCGTCCCTTTTTGGGGTGGCTGAAAGAGCCTGTGCTAAAGCTGGCTCTCAGCGTGGTTCGAGGCCCTTTCTGTTTGCAGATCGCTAATTAACCAAGTAACAA